ACGTACAATACATATTTACAAAATATTTTGTAAGATACAGTATATCTGTATATATACACACACACACACATATATTTACATATAAAATGTATAGTACTTAGAATTATGAATATAAGTACAATACATTTTTACCAAATATTTTTGTATTTATATTATTTTGTCTCGAGACTTTTACTCCATCATGAACAATCCCTCCTGCACTCTCAGTGCAAAATAATGAGTTTACTGAATGTTGACATCCAGAAAGTTTGCATATTTAGAGAAACTTTCTAAAGCTTAACATACACACAGTTTTTGTCAGTTGAAAAATTACAAGGGAATTAATTACATTACTTTTATACTTTGAAGTATCAAAAAAGAAATTCCTTGTGGTACAGTGCACACACCTGACAATTAAACAGTTTTAAGGAAAATCCATAACTGCTGCAACCACAGAGCCTGTAGAGAAATAAATGCCTCAGAATAAGAACCCTCCCATGTACGTCAGTGGTGACTCCACTCAGATGTTTACAAAGAACCCCTCCCATCCATTCAAAAGGCACTGTTTCAGTAATTACAGATTGTACCTTTACCGTGTGTCAAGTGTTACAGTATAGTCACACACCCTGAGCTATATTACTAGAATGTTGATATATAGAGGGAAACCGATGTGCTGTACTATGCCTAGCTGTCCAGTCACCAACTGTGAATCATTGCTTGTTATATGTTAGTTAGTTTACACATGAGTACTTATCATACAAGAATGAAACATGCAACAATGCACAACTTAAATAAAAAATCTCCAAATATTGTATTACTGTGTAAACAAGTATTATGTGATTGTCTTACCATAGGAAATAAATATTATAACAATGTAATATTGCAATAATTCAAAATGTACATAGAGATTGTCCACTGGTAAAAAAAAGTTTAAGCATTGACGCCACTTGTAATAACAATTTTTTTTAAATACAAGAGGAGTGAGTCAATAAAATGTTATAGATCCTAGTCATGGTTATAGTTTCTATGATTTCTGCCACTATGACAGTGTTTATGAGGTGATATATAATTGGGAAAGTCTCCAAGCATAACATATCATAAATATCATTTTAAAATTTTACAAAAAGAGTGGTATCATCCTTGCAACACATATGAACAGTTGTGAAGACTAACCATTTGTTTACTGTTACTTGAAAGAGGCACAAAATTATTTTTTTTAACCATAAAAAAATTAAACAAATTAACTTGAAATAAATAAATATATAAATAAAAATATTGCACAGACCAAGTACTGGTCTTGAATTTGGGGGAAGAAATTTATAATCTGGAGAAAGACAATTGTAAAGAGCACTCATTTGTCTACTGTTATTCATTAAAGGCATAAAATTATTCAATATCAATATATGATAAAAATGTAAATAAATTTAGAGATATTTATAATAATAAATTATGATGGCTGGACAGATAGATAGATAGATAGATAGATAGATAGATCGATAGATCGATAGATAGATAGATATTGCACAGACCAAGTAATGGTCTTGAATTTGGCAAAAGAAATCTATAATTTGGACAGAGTGCTCACCAAAAAAAAAACAACAACAATAATAAAAATTATTCAATCTTACAATGCTGTATAATGTGAGATGTGTTTGTTTGATTTGGCCCAAAAGTGCAAAAGCTACAGAAGCTGTTTAGAGGCCTGTGCTTGTTTTTTTTACTCAAACTGTGACGCAACACAAATCACAAACATCACAGATGATTTGACAAACAAATAAGCGATGATCTCATGAAAAGTATCTGGCATCGCAACTGTATACTAATATGAGGGATGCTAATACAGTCCAAACTAAAACAGACTTTTCTTTCATTCTTTTCCATTTCACTCCACTTCACTTCTAATACTACGGTTGTAAAAAACAGTCAAGAGAAGGTGAGACAAGGACAGAACAGCCATTAAAGCACCCTGGCACACGGCCGTAGAGATTAAAGGAGAGAAAGCATACGAGGAAAATAAGAGTATCGACCAGACACCTTTAGGAGTAAGTAAATCACAGGTTCAGCTAAAACCTTGTCTCATTTCCTTTGTGAACTGGATGAGAGAGAGAGAGAACGATTCATCTGATACCGTCTGTTGTTGCATTGCAAGGTCTGTCTCGTTAAAGTGACAGTCTCGTCAAATACTAAGCGAAGCACAGAGACACGCTCTTCTTCCTTCGCTGTCACTCAACAAAATAATTCAAAGAAATGTTTGACCGGGTCTGGCTCCAGCACCCACACAATCCTTCCTTAACAACCCTGTCCTAGTGTTTAAAAGACGCTTTATCCGAAGGGATTTACGGAGGTCCAATTGCAAAAACAGTCAGTTCCCCTTGAAGAACTCCGATTTAAGTCAAGGGCACAATAATGGCAGAGCACAAACCTGATTTAAGTAACTCAGCTCGTCTTCACTCCTGCTTCAACCAGAATCTCTATAGCATTCGGACAGCAGTTTGGCCTTGCTCCTAAAGGAATATTACAGATTCAGTACAAGTTAAGCTCAATTGACAATGTTCATTAGCTAAACTGATTCCCATTTGTCCCTCTTTTTCTTCAAAAAAAAAATGTGGCTTACAATGAGACATTTACAATGGAAGTGATTGGGGCCAAACTGTTTAAAGTTGCAATGAAACAGATGTAGCAACAGATCTTTTCCCTGCGTATTGTCAAGTACATCCAAGAGCAATGGATTGTCGAAATGGATTATCTTGGTTCTATGAAGTGGTTGCTGATTGGTTAGACTGATTGGAGGAGTCCTGCATACGTCATCACAGAAAAGTCTGTCGTCTTCACTAGAAGATCTAGTTAGACATTTTGCCTAAACATTATGAGGTCAAAATGTAAACCGATGAATTGTTCACAATAACATGCATTTTAGAACATATAATTTTTAATTCATGTTGACCTTAAATACTCACTGTTTCAAAAGAAAAAAATATGATATAAACAGTATGCATGCTTACATGATTTAGTGTCTTAAATTGCTTACTAACCTTTTCTGTGTATAATTATATTGTATACTGTCGCCATGACAAAGAAACACCATAAACCCTAAAACGACTGTAAACATGATGATTTAAACAACTTTACAGCTCAAATAATACACAAGTGTTCACAGAATAATTAATGTGTTAAGTATAATTACAAGCTTGACATTTCTGCTTTCCTCCAAAAAGTGACCCCAATTACTTCCATTGTAAATGCCTCAACATATCCTCCATTTTTTTTTTTTTTTTAGAAAATCAAGGACAAGTCAATGTATTTTTTTGTGCTATTCAGCATTATACCACACATGCTGTCAATTGAGCTTAGTTGGTACTGAATCCAGAACATTCCTTCAAAAAAAGGTTTGATTAATGGACAAGGACTGTGGAGTTATTTCCTGACATCATTGGTCTCTGTTGGCTGAAAGTACCGCACTTGTTGAATGTGCAACACAAATTTTCTTTGCTTATACACTACCATTCAAACTGTTCACAGTTTAGGGTCAGTAAGAAATAAATTAATACATTTATTCAACAAGGACGCATAAATTGATCAAAAGTGACAGACATTTTCAACATTGATAATAGAAAGAAATGTTTCTTGACCACCAAAAATCAGCACATTAGAATGATTTCTGAAGGATCATGTGACACTGAAGACTGGAGTAATGATGCTGAAAATTCAGCTTTGCATCACAGGAATCAATCATATTAAAATAGAAAACGGTTTTAAATTGTAGTAATATTTCACAATTTTACTGTATTTTCCGATCAATTAAATCTAGCCTTGACATGAAAAAAATCTTACTGACCCTAACCTTTGAATTGAAATGTAGTAGCAGAATCTGGATTCATATAAATAGTTTAAAATAATGTGTTTTTATAACTAAGATAGGGAGTTATCAAAAGTGAATGTCAGGAATCCAAAAGCTGAATCAAAAACTCATCGGCCTCAAATTAAAGTACATATACAACTTTACATTGCCTTCTTGAGATTCCACCATCCCGGACTCATTTGTACAGCAGGGGTAGACGGCTGTTGTGGCAGTTGTTTCGGCTCAGTTTGCCCTCGCCCTGGTACAGGTTGGAAGAATTGGAGAAGGACGCAGGCAGGGACTGTTTGTCTGTTGCGGGGGAGTAGCTGGGGGGCTCAGCCTGAGACGACGGGACGCTGTGGTTCTGGTTCTGATTCTGGACGGATGGGCGTCTGCGAGAACGCAAGGCCTGACGTTCTGCAAGCTGATTCCGCAGCTCTGTCACTCTTTCTTCCTTCTGCACACACAAAAAAAAACAGTAGTATTAATATTTGAAATTCTGCTAAACTTCTCCATTTTTGGGTGAACTATTCTTTCAACATTTCCTTTAACATGTATATTTCCTGTGATGGCCCAAGATCCGGCCACACATCGCTGAGTGGTAATGTGCTTTCACACACCCACATACACCAACATTTATCTTTTTCTTATATGTGACCCTGGACCACAAAACCAGTCATAAGGGTCAATTTTTAAAAAAATGGAGATTTATACAATATCTGAAAGCTGAATAAATAAGCTTTCAATTGATGTATGGTTTGTTAGGATTGGACAATATTTGGCAGAGATACAACTATCTGAAAATCTGGAATCTGAGGGTGCAAAACAATCAAAATATTGAGAAAATCGCCTTTAAAGTTGTCCAAATTAAGTTCTTAGCAATGCATATTACTAATCAAAAATTAAGTTTTGATATATTTACGGTAGGAAGTTTACAAAATATCTTTATGGAATATGATCTTTACTTAATGCCCTAATGATTTTTGGCATAAAAGAAAAATCAATAATTTTGACCCATACAATGTATTTTTGGCTATAAATATACCCCAGCGACTTAACACTGGTTTTGTGGTTCAGGGTCACATATATCGTTTTGTGTTTCATATGTTGCAGTTCACGTAATGCTTCACAAACTTATCTGAATATTACATTATACATAAAGTATCAGACTCGGTTTATTTGTCATTCAAATACTTTATGCTTTTCACCGCTATTTAGTTCCGTTCACCAGTACTAAAGGATTAATGAACTATAGGTTTTTTAGAGTTTTTAGTTTTTTTTTTTTAGTTTAGTTCTGATTTGTTTACCTTTTTTTAGGCCAAAGTGTGTTTTTTTTATTTGGAATACTTTTTGGGTGATTTAATTTTTTTTGTAAAGACTTAAACAAAATAATTGTTTTCCCTGGGAAATTTTCTGTGTCTTCCTTGCTTTGACTGCTTGGTCCCTTACATTTCCTCTTGTATAAAGCATATTCTGGCCTTAATGAATGAACAACTCAGAAGGTCAAAGACAAGGACGAGTACGATATAATTTCAGTAATTCATTCTACCCTTCTGGGATCCCATTCCGTGCGTTAATTTGTTAATCTATTATGCTGTTAATTAAGACACAAGCACATGAGGAGAAGAGGAAGTGATGGATGGAGGGAGAGAGAAGGAGCACGTGCCTCTTGAATGATCTTCTGGAGTTCCCTGTTCTCGCGCTCCAGCTGTCTTGACTTCTCCTCATCGTTGTTGTTGGACGAGCCGGTTTTCAGCGTGTCCTGCTGCTCCGACTGCCACTCGCCACGAGTGATCAAACGCCGTATCTGCAGAGACAACCGTTAACATCTATGAGACGCCGCAGGGAACGCTCACTGAATTTATGAAATGTCACTGAAATCAATTGTTCATATGTGTGATGTTGTGCAGGAGAGGACGGGTAATAAGTAAGGGATCATTTACAGCCAGGCAGTCGCAAAATAAATCAGCCTGAAGGGTTTATTCTGCGATAAACCTCTGCTTTTGTACATTATCAGGCTTATTACACGGCTACTTGCCTAATAAACAAATAAATAAATGGACATGAAATACTGATTAAAATTATTATTTAACTTATATGAGAAGAGACCGCAAAGCAGGGTTATTATCATTAACAAAACTTTTTTTACTAATTGAAAAATAAAGCTGAAATAAAATTTAAAATAAATATTACAAGAAAAAAACATACAAAATTTAATAATGTTGCTTGGCTACTAACTGATACTAGTTTAAGTTTCAGCACTAAAATAATTAACTGGAAATAAATAAAAACTGCAACTGAAATAAAAATAAAAATGACATAAAACTAAATTAAACCTAAATAGTAATACTAAAAAAAAAAAAAAGATTAAAAATGACAAAAGCACATAACTAAATTATTAAAAAATAAACTACATTTAAAAAGAAAAACTGAAAATATAAAATTACCACAAAATAAACTAAAATTAAAAGTGAAAACTGTAAATAAAAAAACGCTAATTCAATATTCAATATTTATTATTCATAATTGAATACAAAATATAATATATAACACTTCACACTGCCACAGAGTGATACAAGAGAAACTAGCAGAAATGTGTGTTCACATGATATTTATAGTTCAACAGGCATTATAAAAACTAAATTCATATAAAGAAAATTTGACCACATAATACTGTGATTGACCAATCAGAATCAAGCATCTGCCAGTGCTGAGTAAAAACAAAAACTATCAAAAGTTTAAAAAAGGAAGTGTTCTCTAAGATAAAGATCACTTTACTGTTCTGAGGAAACACTTTCTTGTTGAGATCGAAATGTAAACCTAACACATTTATGCAAAAAACGAAACTGTGCCAAGGGAAAGAACCGAAATCAGACAAAATGAGAAATCTGTCTGCATAAAGACGAGCCAGCATGAATGTGGAAGTGATATGAAGCAGGGAAGTGCTTGTACCTTGGGCACAAAGAGCACCACGAGGGTGATGTAGACAGAGAAGATTATGGCCAGAGAGGCGAATGCAAATGAAGCGTCCTGCTGAGAGGAGAGGATCATGGTCACCGGAGCAGTAATCATGCACAGCACCTGGAAACAGAATAAAAAAAAGAGAGAATAACGTTAATAATGTGAATATATAACTGTGAAGATATAACTTAAAGGGGTCATATGTTACAAGCTCTTGGTGCATAAAGAAGATCTGTAAAGTTGCAAAGACTAAAGTCTCAAATCCAAAGAGATATTCTTTATAAAAGTTAAGAGTCAGCCACACCTACCTAAAACGGCTCGTTCTAACACGCCCCCACATATCTACGTCACTATGTGGAAATAGTAGCATTAATGATCTTTAAAATAGCATCATATGACCCCTTTAAATCAGATTGTTAGGACTCACTATCTGTCATTTGCAGGTGATTCAATTTAATTCAATTCAAAATTTTAATAATTAAATTAAAGTTAAAAATAGTGCCTAGCAACTAACTGAAATGTTTAAATTGATGCACTAAAATTAATAACTGGAAATAAAAAAAAACAGAAAATGAAACCTAAATAGTAATATTTAAATAATAATAATAATAATAATATGACAAAAAGCACATAACAAAATTAATCATATCTTTAAAACTGTCTGTCAATCATTCTGCAGGTGATTAAAGGAAAAGACAAGAAAACATAAAAAATTAACACATAAAAAATGTAAATTTAAACCACTTACTAATGTGGTTTTGATCTAGTTTGTAAAATCAGATTTCAAGTGTTTGTTTTGCCTTTCAGACAAAAGAGTCGGATATGTGAGAAAAAAAATTATTTATATATATATATATATATATATATA